CACTTCCTTCAAAATCTGGATCATTCACTACAATTTGATCAACAATTTTGGTTATGCGATATGCTTCTTGTCTAGTCTTATGTTCAAATATACGAGCACTAAGATGGCTTTTTCTTTTCTGCTAGACTTATTACATTATCAATGAAACAGAGGACAAGCTTTAGAAAGACTTATTTATTTGAGTATGCATTTTGGATAATTATATCCCTTTTCAACTCGTATTACAAATGGATTGTGAGAAATGCAGGAGTTGTGACATTAGATAAAATATTGATGGTGATTATTGATTAACAGGTATAAGAGCGAACATGACGCCTGGTATATAGTGTTGGAATAAAACATTCTCCGTATACATGATACAATGTTGAGTTAATATTAAGAAAATTGGAAACCTTGATCTTGGTTACAGTAAGGGTAATAGAACTTTTGGAACAACCAGTATGATGAAGTGAGGTTAGTGCACTATTAAAATAACGGGAATAAAAAAAGTTTTAAGTTAGAAAAAGGAATAGAAATAGTTTTTCTATTCCCGTTATTTTAATAGTGCACTAACCTCACTTCATCATACTGGTTGTTCCAAAAGTTCTATTACCCTTACTGTAACCAAGATCAAGGTTCCCAATTTTCTTAATATTAACTCAACATTGTATCATGTATACAGGGGATGTTTTATTCTAACACTAGGTACCAGGCCGTCATGTTCACTTGTACACTTGTTAATCAATAATCACCATCCGTATTTTATTTAACGTCACAACTCCTGCATTTCTCACAATCCATTTGTAACACAAGTTGAAAAGGAATATAATTATCCAAAATGCATACTCAAATAAATAAATAAGTCTTTCTAAAGCTTGTCCTCCGTTTCATTGATGGTGTAATAAGTCTAGCGGAAAAGAAAAAGCCATCTTAGTGCTCGTATATTTGAATTTTGATTATTGTTACCAAACTTTTACTAAGGAAATTTGTAGAGAAATTCTTTTGGGCTCTTTGTTTTCAAAATCACTATTTTCCAGTTCTACATTAATTCCTTGTTCTGCCAGTTCTTGAAGGTCGTCATTGATAAAGCTGTCACCAGAAACCTGCAGTAACTCATCAATATCTTGATCATCTACATCTAGTCCTGCTGTATCAATTAGGTTGACAATAGGCTCTTCTTGTTGAGAATTCTTGGATACTTTCAGCCATAACTTCTACACTTCGTTCATGCATTTATCAGTTAATTCTTGCCAAGAGAAGTCAATATTGCCTATGGCATCCATAATGTTATATTTTTTCCAAAATTGCACCACACAAACATAGATTTAAGGAAAGTACAAATCCCCGTATAACACAGCACTTCTATAGCACGGGTTCACTCTAACACAGTTCGGGAATTGGGTAAAACCCTCGTACAACATGAAATGTAATAAAGGGTGCGTTCTTTTATAGCTCCGCGTAACTCCGCGCAAGCATTCTAATTGTTTTCGTAGCTACTTTGAATGCTCTTTCAACAAATAATCCATTTAATGGTTTAATTCTACAATTGGGACCCTCTAAAAGCTCATTTTAGAATTATAGATCCCTCCATCACGATACTATCAATAGTGCAGGCACACCATCTTTCTTTCACCATCGTTCCAAATGCCAACAAACAGCAGCGCACCCACATTGCAGAGCGACCGCTATTAACGAATGCACCCACAAACTGTTACTAGTTGATGATGCTCATGCTGAGATCATCATATAAGATGAATAATCCTCTGGTAAAATATTTACTTAAATAATAAATAAGAATTTTACCTATGAAAAAATGAATAATAAATCCAATTTAAATAAGGATTTAACAGCATACTTTTTAATTTTTGGAACCTAACCCTCCTTTTCGCACTAGTTATTTGTTTCATATAACACGGATTCGCATAACATGGCAATTTTTTGGAATGTAACTCCTGTGTTATATGGGGGTTACCTGTACAGCACTACAACGAATTGCCACCTTTTGCTGGTTGGTTCATGTTCAGGAATAATCATATTATATATGAATCAATAAAATGCCACGAAATTTGAATCAACGTAAATTTTGAGCTTTTTTCAGCTTTGAAAGGATTGCATTATATCGAATCAGCATTAAGCAGGGTCTTACTGTATATGTTCAATAGTCATTTAGACTCAAGGTAGCTCATACCAACCTTTCAGTAAACAACAGTTGTCAACAAAAGTGTCATTTGTAACAAGAATGCCATGAGCTTCAGTATTGCATTTCCTACAGATTGTTTGTTATGTGACATCACATCATATTCATTTCACTTAACGACACTACTCAGTATCACCCCTGAAGATGACAGTTTAAAATGGAAGAAAAACATTTGTTTTGTTTAAATATATATGTTGCAGGGATATGATTGATAAAAGTGGGGATTTGGTCAAATCCCTTAGGGAGATGATCAACTCACTAAAGATGTTAAAATGACAATTCTGTAGTGTCATTTCCTTAAAAAATAGGTGATTTGATCAAATCCCTGTACTATTTTAGTGAAAAGATAAAATAAACAGGTCAGGACTTGCGCTAGTTACCTGTTCCTTCGTCCCTTCAACAGGCCAGTTGCCGGCGACCTCTGGCACACGCAATTGCACAAATCATTACATCACGATAGTTGTGTGCATTCGTATTTTATTTTCCTTGTAATTTGTATGATTATCAAATAATGGCTTTGAATACAGGACAAAATCAGACTCAAACCAAATTTGTGTGTGAAGAACAGTTCAATGAAACTATCAGGACATGTTTGAGTGAGCAGCATGATAATGAAAAACTATTGTGGCCTTGCGAAAGAATAGAAGCTATCACAGCCATTGAACAATTTAAATTAGCACCAGTACTTAAGTTTCAATGGACAAATAAACAGTATTACTACAGAAAAAAATACAACCTAATGAAAGTAGGTACTAAAAAATCTTTGATTTTGAAGAGAAAGTCTGACTCCGATCCAGTTGTGAAAATAAAGCCTGCAGAAGAATTTTATCACATTCTTTGGAAAACTCATCAGTCAACTGGCCACGAAGGCAGAGATAAAATGCTGTATAGTTTGAAATTGCGATATTTTATACCCACTTCGGTTGTTCTGGAGTTTTTGAAATTGTGCATGGTATGTCAGTCTACATTCCACTATACCTTTAAAATGCAGTCTACTTTTGTCTAGTTCTCTAACGTTTTCGGTCTAATTCATAGACCTTCTTCAGGATTGATGTAAAAAAATTTTAAAAATTTGAACTTTCCCAACGGTAATTCGAACAACGCACGTTCTATAATCTTCAGATATTCGATCGCGCATGTCCATTAGCTCTTTATAATGCCGCCGCTCTTTATAATAAGGTATAGTGGAATGTAGTAATTAATAATGCAGTTAGAGATTTAATAATTGGTATGTCAGTCTAAAAAAAATGTCCAAGAAAAGGAATCGTTGTTCACCCAATTGTGTCCTGTGACTTCAACCATCGTGGCCAAATGGATTTAGTTGACTTGCCGTCAACCCAAGACAGAAATTACAGATGGCTATTATATTACCAGGATCACGCAACAAAATTCAGCTTTCTGCAGCCGTTGACTTCAAAAAGAGCAGCTGAAGTAGCAATAGAGCTATTAAAAATCTTTCTGGAAGTAGGTTGTCCTCATATATTGCAAAGTGACAGCAGCTGTGAGTTTATGGCTGCTGTCATACAAGAATTGATATCCCTGTGGCCAACATGTAAAATTGTAAATGATAGGCCTAGACATCCAGCAAGCCAAGGATCTGTTGAGCAATCAAATCAAGATGTCGAAGCTACGTTAGTGCTTGGCTTATTGACAATGACACAAATAATTGGGCTACAGGTTGTTACTTTGTTCAGTTTCAGAAGAATTCCTCCTTTCATCGTACCATTCAACTATCACCTTACAAAGCCTTATTTGGAACAGAACCAAAAACAGGACTCCAATCTACTCATATTTCAAAGGAGTTGCTTGAGAAGCTTGTTACCAAAGAGGACTTGGATCAGCTTCTTAAACAGCAACATAGTGACAACACTTTGGCATCAAAGAATTTACCAGCAACTCAATAAATGAACAACGATGATGTTTCAACTTCAGAAGTTAATCCAGAAGCTGAATTAATTAACTACAATGCTTCAACCTCAAATTTAGATGATCTACTAGCAACTGAATCAACAACATAGCTTGAACCAGTTTACAACTCTACAACACTTGTAATACCAGTTAAAACATCTGTACTGTTAATAGAATCAAAAAATGAAGCAGTTGACAGCAAAGTAAAACTACATTGTGTTGTTTGTGGAACAGAATCTACTGGAGCCCATTCATGCAACATTTGTAAAAATCCAATACAGTCATACCTGGACTTACGCGATAGGTGGGACCGAGCGATAACCGCGTAATTCAAATTCGCGTAAGTCGGGGTATAATTTTGCATATAAATACATACAAATTATTTTTAATTGGGACCAGAGACTAAAAAAAACAATAATTTAGAAAAAAAATGTTTAATAAAATCTTAGATAATACATACGTATAACAAATTACAGTAGAGTGTCATTTATCCGAAAGCTGGTTATCCGAAACGTCCGTTATCCGAAAGCATTCCAGTCGGCAACTTTAAATTTTCGCTAGTGCTGTGGCACTGCAATCTTCGGCTATTTCTCAGGCTACTCAAATATTTTACGTTTTTGATACTAAATTAACATCTGAAGTATAATTTCTTATTGTTTTTATATTTTTCAATAAATTTATTTTGTTTGTACAAAATAAAAAAATAATAATAATTTTTAACGATACAATAGTCTTCGTTAGGCTTAACATTGACGAAAATTCAACGCGAAGCGACATGCAACGGAGAGAAATTTCAACATGGAATAAATTAATATATTTTTTCGTACATGATTCGTTATCCAAAAAATAAGTTATCCGAACCACCCCAATCCCCAATTGATTCGGATAAACGACGCTCTACTGTATATTCTTAAAATTGTAAACCTAAGTTATTTTGATGTAGAAGGCTTCATAAAATCTAACAAATTCGTCTAACAGCTCAAAGATTTTTTTTCTCCCGCAAAATTTCCTCGTAGCATGCTAATAATTTTTTTATTTCTCGTTTTGTAGAAGAAATGCGCTCTTCGGTGGAGTCTATAATTTCTAAAATTTGTAATCCCTTTTCAATAAAACTGAGGCCTTCTGTCAATTTTCCAACCGTCATTCGATCTTCTGATTGAACTTGATCTAAAGAATCAAGTTCTTCAATGTCTTGCTCTTGCTCACACATTTCTATGAGCTCATCAATTGTCAGTTCCTGACTGTGGGAATCCAGCAGTTCTCAAACATCATCACTATCCACTTCTAAATTTATTTGCCTGGCAAGATCGACAACTTCTTCAATCACATTACCAATTTCATCAGGCTCTGGCACTGATTCCGCCTGAGTTTCAGCGGTGAAAAAAAAGGGGACAGTTTTTTCCAGACGCCATTTAAAGTTTTTTGTGAAACTTCATTCCAAGATTGTCCAATGATTCTCACTGCAACTAAAACATTGAATTGTTTCCAAAAGTCTTTAACAGAAAGCTTGTTGTTTTGTCTCATAGCTTCATGCAGGTATACAAACAATCATCTCGTGTAATAAGCTTTGAATGTTTTGATGACTCCATGATCCATCGGTTGAAGCAAGCTAGTTGTATTTGGTGGCAAAAATACAACTTTCACACGTGGGTCAAAATTAGTTGAAGTTGTAGGGGGATGACCTGGTGTGTTGTCGATTATTAGCATCACTTTAGATGAAATTTGTTTAGATTGGCAATAACGTTCGACTTCAGGTATGAAGTGATGACCAAACCAGTCCTCAAAAAGGAAAGCTGTCACCCAAGCCTTACGATTCGACTTCCAAATCACAGGCAAGCCAGCTTTAGATTTATTTTTCAATGCTCTTGGATTTTCCGAGCGATAAACTAAGAGAGGTTTTAACTTACAATAACCAGCTCGATCTTTGGCGGCCTTAAAACCTGAAAAGGTTCTCTCTTCATGCGCAATAAAAGTTCTTTTAGGCATCTTCTTCCAGAACAGGCCAGTCTCATCTATGTTGAATATGGTTTGGCTGGTACAGCCACCTTCATCTATCATAGCTTTGAATTTCTCTGGATAGTAAGACGCAGCCTCTTTATCAGCACTTGCCGCCTCTCCACTTCCTGCAATGCTATGCCAATTACAGCGACTTTTGAATCGGTTGAACCAACCGTTACTAGCTTTAAACTCTTCATCTTTAGCCACCTCTCCAGCATCCTCTTTCAATCTTTCAAAAATCAGCTTAGCTTGAGAGCACACAGTGTTCTGATCAACAGGACAATTTTTCACATTTACTTGATTATCACACCATAATTTTAACATTGTTTCCATCTCAGCGATAATACCGTGACGTTTACGAATGATGCTTGAATTTAAGGATTGAGCATTTTTTACAGCTTCAAGAATTTTCTCTTTACCTTTTATAATTGTTCTGACCGTCGATTCCAGTAGATCAAACTTCTTTGCCAATTCAGAAATTTTCATTTTTGTATCGAAGTCTTTAATAATGTTAATTTTACATTCCAAAGATAAAGTTTTTCTTTTCTTGTTTGATGCAGAAGAATCAGTTCTACTTCATTTGAATGACATAGTAGAGTGTTAAGATTAATCATATTCGTTATTGTAAACCGCGCTTAAGTTAGGCGCCATCTGTTCATTTCTTTTGTATGTCCGACGATCAAAAGACCGCTTGGGATCGAGTTTGTTTATAATTTGAAAGGTAATCTTGTCAGTTGTATATACAAAAGGTAAATTGTTTACAAAATGAGTCTTTGTTTATTATCTGATATGTATACTTTTTTCGTCAATTGTTCACGATTGCAGATGCCTTTTGTGTAAAATCCAAGTCGGATGTATGTAAGCTAATAAATGTTCTCGTTAATCTTATCTCGCCTTTTGGTTCGTTAACAGTTACAAGAAATCACCACATAGAGACTCTCAAGTCTCTGTAGATATAACAAACAGAAATAAATTACACAAAATAAATTCTAGCTATGCGTCGATTCCGCGCGACACGTCCGAACATTAAGCTGAACAATAGTGTGGGGGGAGTGAATAATCGAGAGTTGCGTGGCGCTCAAACAAAAGATAAATCGACGAAATTTGAAAATCGCGTAACTCCGGGTTCGCGTAAGTCGGGGTAGCGTAAGTCAGGGTATGACTGTACACGTAATATGTGGAAATAACAGAAGAAGGATATGGATCAAAAATTTTATGCTACTTATGCCAAAAGGAAAAAAAATTATAGATCAAAGGGAACATTGCAAAATACCTAAAAATATCAGCTGAAAAAATGGAAGATTTTTCATTGAAGAAATTTAAGGACATGTTAGTGAATTCCACAGTTTTGGTTGATGTACTTAAGGTAGATAGAGGTCCATTAGATGGAAATAATATTACGGGAATAGTATTAGATTAAAAAAATGGTTTATACCAAATTGGTAATTCAGCTGGCATTATAAAAGATTGGCTTCGTAGAAACACTCTTCAAATAGCTACAACCACATTTACTAAAACCGACTGACCGACAAAGCTAAGTTTGTGAGAAATTGCTGGAAAATTATCTTTATTCGGAGGTCAAGGGTTTAAGAAATGTTCCTGTGAAAAATCCAATGTACAATGCAAAACAAATAGATGTGCCTGTAAAAAAAATAACATCCTCTGTAACTCCAGGTGCCACAAATCTACAATGTGTTTCAATAAAAATAAATAAACTTAGTGTTATCTCTATCTTTTCATGTAAGTACTTCTTACTTTGTTCATTCGTTTTTTGTCATTTCACAAAACCAGTTTAGAGATTTAATCAAATCACTTCATTTAATTAGGGAAATGTCAATATCAAACCTTTATTTTAACATCTTCAGTAAAGTGATTATCTCCTTTAGGGATTTGACCAAATCCCCACTTTTATCATATCCCTGCAACATATACATCATTTACTGTATTTTTGGTGTTCAGGTATATTTATTTCTAAATTACATCAGTATTGTGTTAAAGACTAATATTCCAGAACATTCCATCGGCAGAGTAACAAATTCAAAACGAATGTAATTAGCAACTTTAAAACCCCTTCATTCCCATTGACGAGATAACTTGTCAAGTTTACATAGCGTTACGAAAAACTCGGTCGTTAAGGCCACTTTAAAAAAATTATTTTTGATTTTTGGAATGTTTTTTGTCTCCAAATTTTTTCAAAAATTTTTACCCACACAAAAAAATTTTACTGCAATTTTAATCAACCTATGATGCGCGATTAACACTGAATTGTTTTTTAATGCGATTTTTTTATCAAATTTAATTAATCGTTCTAAAGTTGTAGTGCACAAATTTGACTTCGGTAAAGTTATTTAAAGCTACTTTCTGATGTCAAAAACGACCTCCAATAGTTTTTTAATTTTTTTAATTAATATATTTTATTATACATAAGTTTAATTAAGTCGGGGGGGTCGGAAATCGCAATAAAAATTTTAATTTTTTAAAAATATTTTAAAATATAGGTCTAGCTACTATTCACCCTACTTTAAACCTACAGCTGTGTAAACAATGACTCATCAGTGTCAAATTTCACAGAAAGACCAGACAAAGGAAAACAAAATTTGAAGCTTTTTCTTCAAAATTAACGCATTTCTTTTGTTTTTTCAGTTTTAAGTATTTTTTATGTTTAACAATAATTGATTAAAAGTTAATTGGGAACTGGGAGGTTAAGAAGTGACATCGTACAGAATGACATCAGCCAAAAAAATGACAATAACTCGGTAATCCATTGCCCAATTTTAACAAAACTTTTGTTTCTATTCTTGGTTGTACAGGATCCTTAAAAATGTAACTGTACTGTAAGGTCTCGTTTTATGCGGTGGATACGTTCTACAGAAAAGCGCATAAAAAAAATTCGCATAAAAAAAGACTTTACTTGCCTTGAAAAAGTAGGGATACGTTCCGTAATTTTCTAAAATCGCATAAAACCAAAACAACGAATTAAAATTAACTTAAAACCGCATAAAAAAAGTTTGCAGAAATTAAAAGAAATAGGCTGCTTAATAAATTACTTCGAATGTCTGAAAGAAATTCATATAAAAGCTTAAAATAAACTTGTATTCAAACTTAATTCAGTTAATTTTATTGAAAAGTAATACAGTTTTACATTTTTTTTTTGAATTTTTGGAATGTTTTTTAAGTCTCCAAATTTTTTAAAAATATTTAAAAATATACGGCCAGCTAGTGTTCACCCTACTTTAAACCCTTGTCCTCCCGCGACGTCTATGAGAATGCCCCGGGAAATCCAACTCCAGCTGTGTTCAAGGTCATCCAGATGTGTAAACAATGACTCATCGGTGTTAAATTTCACAGAAGGGCGAGACAAAGGAAGTTAAACTTTGAAGCTTTTTCTTCAAAATTAACGCATTTCTTTCGTTTTTTTTCAGTTTTAAGTATTTTTTATGTTTAATTACATTTATATCAAAAATTGCTAGGAACTAAAGCGATTAAGGTAGATCTAGCTGTCCTTTACATCCATAAACGTTATATGTCAGTGGAACAAATGGAGTGAGCTTTGAGCGTCCCACGATTTTTGGAGACTGTCTATACGCGGGCTTCCTAAACAAGCCTATATGTATGTTTGTCCAAAAAAATTTTGGATGAAATACAAACCGCACAACTTCAAAATCGCATTAAAAAAATCCGCATAAAACGAGACCTTACAGTACTTTGCACCATTTTTTCTGTATTTAATTACTACCAAACAAATTCAGACTTTTAGCAGTATATAGATCATTTTAATATTAATTAACCACTTCCAATATATGTTGTTATGTTTTTGTCAGTAGTGTACTGTATTTGTGTTGTCAATAAATGCAATTCAGACACTCATACTCTCTCCTACCTCCATCATCTATCCTGTCATCTTTACATCTTCCCTTACACTTAAACTTTTCTCTTACTGCTCTCTTTACCTCAGGCAATACCATTGAGTAGCCCCAAGTTTTCCTCCCTTTTATGCTATGTATGTTATATATCCCAAACTCCCAACCCTTTGAGCAACTGGACAAATTTGCTTTACAATCCTCCAAACAATATATGCTACTTTAAAACTGATTTCATCCCTCACAAAATGCCAAACCCTTTGACCAATTTGCACAAAATTTTGCACAGTTACTCTCTGCCACCCTGCAGGAAACACGCACTATCTTATAACGAAGAAACTCAATCCTCTCCCTGAGTTCTGGGGTAACACTGGGCACTGTTTGCTAGCACTGAATAAAACTAATTTTAAAATTTACATTTTTCTACTTATTTATTTTCTGTGTTTATAAAAACTTTTAATGTAAACAATTTTGTTCATCATTGCAATAAATATTTAAAAAACTTTTTCCTAAACATTTAGTGTTCTGAATCAATGCATCTTTAAAAGTGGATGAAGTTTAAATAATACTGATATTTTCAACCTGGTTAACAGAACATCTACAGACATGGAAAAGTGAAAGGAAATGTTAGTATCAGTAAGGAAGAAAGACAGAACATAGGTAACAAGCAGGAAAAGGTCACTACAAAAACTGATGCAAAGGACAAAGAAGGAAGTGCAAGACAACAGCTTCAGCCACTGTTAAAGGTACATTAATTCAGCATAGTAACTACATTAGATAGTTCATCCTTAATTTAAAAAAAAAACTTGTTCATTTTATGTAAAAATAACTGTAGACATCCAGAACTAAACTATACAGAGCCACATGATTTTTAGAATTCAGTTTAGTCATCATAAACATTTAATAGTAATAAGCAATAATAATAACCTAAAGATTATTTTAATATTGACAAATCATTTATTTAATCTAACCAAGTTAAATGATATTTATCATCATATTACATTTCTATAGTAATCATTGATTCTTCTGAGTAAAAACTGAAACTGTGTACTACTAAATAACTAGCATAAGTGTGAAAATTGAGTTTAATAAACAGTTCTATCACACCATTACAATTGCTCACTATTGTTTTACTCATATGTACTAAACTAATGCTTGTCATACATTCTGAATTTATATGACAGGAATTTTATTCAAATCTCAACATGTCAGGATTTCAAAATCATCAATAAGATACTTATTTACAGGCACAAGTATGTGTTTTAATATTTAACAGATGCCATATGAGTCATATATAGATAGAATAATCAGACACATTAAGGGAACAATGAAAAGTATTTGAATCTCAATTGACTTAACTTAATGTTTGAAAGTAGGTAGGAGTAAGTCTATTATCCACACCATGAGCTTTTGATCCTATCCTGTGTCCTCTAGTATCTATTGCAATTTATGTATGTTGAAAGTAACACTTCAAAATGTCTGTACACAATTGGATCAATTACATCATTAAGCACATCATAATACAGTTGATTGTCCATTGTAGCTCTTGAGTCAAAATTATATGCAACCATCTAACTGTTGTGAAACAGTAAGCATAGTAACAAGTGTTTT